TATCTTAGCATCAAACCCCTTAATTCAAACCAAACCCGGATTAAAACCTTATTTGAAGTTTTAAAACTATTAGTTCTAGTACAGTATTTGTCTTGTGATGTACAGTGAAGTGCAGTCAGTCTTTCATTTAGTCCATAGACAGAGGTGCAGATTCATTTTAATGCTAATGTTGTTCCTGAGTAAATGACAGTCATTGCTGAGTTCACTTCAGTTTGGTCTTTGAGCTCGAGCTCTGTCTAGTCCCCTGTGAACCATCTGAGTCGAAGAGTAAGTGGTGTTCATCATTGATCACTGTGTTTCAGATGGACAGCTGCCAAGACAGCGAGTGGTGATTTCAGGGTCTTTGGATAAGTAGATTATAGAGCAAAGTCTGTGACCTGTACCCTCTCTGTTGATCTGTGTCCCCCCCTGCAGGATGATGGTGTCTGGTGTGCTGGCGCTGGTCCTGAGCTGGACGTCTCTGGGAGTCGACCTGGCCGCCGCTGTGGTGAGCTGCCGTAGCTGTTCTCCTCTGACTGACAGTGTGGTAAAAAAAAAAAAAACAAGAACAAACTGATCCTTGACAATCAATTCTCATCATGTCAGATGATGATGATGAATTACTCCAGCTACTCGTACGCCGCACTTGAAAAATGTCTTTGACTGTGTGGGGGTGGTGTTGTAGAGATGATTACACACTGCATGCATGCAGTGACACATAATAAATATCTGTGAGTTGTGAGCCATGATGAAGGATGACAACTATTTCACCATTAGTCACAGCTTTGCTGACATACTATAGACGCTCTTATAAATATATTTTAAGCAACCTATTTATATATTCATACAATTAGGAAGCTGTTGCTGCTAATAAGGCTCTGTGTCTTATGTTTTACTATATATAAAGAACCAGTAGAAACCGTGGGAGGTGTGCAGATATCTGAAGCGTTTCAGAGCTCAACCTCAACGTTCGTCTGATCTTGTTTATCACTGTGTCAGATATTGTGTTTTTGATCTTTTACTTTGAGCAGCACTGAATAAATAGGGTTAGAGAAGAACACCATGTCAGCCTTGTTGTGTGGAGTGATTATTAATACAAAAAATATATATAATTAAGAAAGAATACAAGATAAGTCTTTACCAGCTAATAAAAACGGCATTCTGTCCTACTATGGTCTCCTTTAAAAAAGACCCTGAGGACAAATTTGATGCTTTGTGTAAATGTTTTCAAAGAAGACATGTGAGACAGACAGACGATCGCTGCTGCTGCTGTTGCTGCTGCTGCTGCTGTTGCTGCTGCTGCTGCTG